ATTTTTCACATTGACGAACAATTGATTCTGATATAGCAGAAATCTAACAAATAGGAAAAAAAAGTTTTTTTTTTTAAATTCTTTCGAAATTTAAAAAATTTTTTACTTTTTCAATATTTTGAAAAAGATCAACAATTTCATCTGGATTTAAATAACGTCTTAAAGGTCTTGAATATTTAATAATATATTGTTTTAAATTTTCATAATAAATTCTTTCGAAAGAAAGTATTTGTTCAAGCATTGATTCTGATTGTTGTATTGATGATAATGTTGTTGCTGTTTCAGAAAAACCACTATCATATTTTTTTATATTTGGTATTGACATATTTGTATAGTAAATCGATGATGATGATGATGATGATGACGACGACGTTGTCGATGAATATATTTTTTCTTTTGCTTTTTTTACTTTCTTTTCATTGTTTTTATTCAATGATTTCTATGAATAAAGAATAAGATCAAAAACAAGATGAACATTTCAAGTAGAAAAAGCGATTAATACTCATAGAAAACAACAACAAAAAAAAACAAATTATAACTTCTATGATCATGTTGTGCTTCAATGAACCATTTAGCTTGTATTTAAAAGCAGAAAAATCATGCAAAAGAGAAACACATTCGTTTTTTTTTTCTCATATGCACACAAATAGAAATTATTTTAAGATATAAATAACAATTTATAACAGGAAAAAAATTGTTTTTTAATTTGATCAAACTAATCAACGTTTAGAATATCTGCAAATATTCTCATATAAAAAAGGCAATATTAGTGCACATTTATGAAGGATAAGAGTTGACATTAAGACCTTTTAGTAGTATCTCACGAGAGAACAATCCAAACTGATACCTACATCGTCTGAGCCTACAAGAAAATCTCCGTAAAACTAGAAAAAGCCTAGAAGCATTCATGTCGGTATGCCTGTGGAGCTGAGTTTTGACCGTTTTACTGAATTTTTGATCACTAAAAAATCAAATAATAGGATTTCGGCTTGTGATATAGCCCATAGATAAGTGGAATGATTCTTAGAATATCCTGAAAGTTTCAGTCGAAAAGAATCTTCTTTTGTAGAGATATTAAATTTTCAAGTAAACTTGATTTTTGTAATAA